TAGTATTTATAGGTTATGCTCATTACATGGAAAGGACAGATCTGCCCTTAGTATTTACATAACAAATAGAACAAAATAAAACTGAAATAAATAACAACTGAAATAACCAACTGACCACTAGCTAACCCTAGGATGACTAGAACACATTCTACCCTACGAACACAGTGGGACCATAGCTGTGGGGCCCACATCAGTGTTCTCTACACGTTGTAATCATTCATCTAGAGTATTTCTTTCTTTGTTTTCCTTTTTTTTTCTTTTTGCTTGAAATGTGGATTTGTACATTTTTCTGAATTGATTTTGCATTCCCCAAATCCTTGGAAACTTATACCTACCATGCGATGCAGCACTAGTGAGCTTCAATGCCCATGGCTATTGGTCAACTATAGTGCCCACATACCTCACAACCATAGTAGCTTCCCTCTATATAAGCCTATTTACTCTGCCCATATGTAAGTTCACTCTGTGAATATACAAATGCAGATTCCAAAGTGATAAGATCAGAAAAACTTCTGATAATTTTGTAATTTTGTTTTATTTATTGCTTTGCAGGGAAATCTAACTTTCTCCTATGAAAAGGCATTATGCCCTCTTTTTCTTTTAGAGTGAATGAATATTTCAAAGATTCAGTTCTGCAACTTTGTTGTTGTTGTTGAGAAGTGAGACTCTTCTCCTTGATGATGGGATTTCATCATATCCATCCTCTATGTTGGTGAGACTCCAATCCTGAGGTGGGTTGGGTATTGTGAGTACCTTTTCTCTGAGTGTGTGTTTCTCCAGTTCTCTGTCCGTTTTCTTCTACATTGTTTTCTTTCCACTGTGGCAATTCTCCATTGAATTGACTTCAATCTCTTACTAATTTTACAACTTAAAGCATCTAGTTGGCTTGGATTATGCACTGGCACCACCTTATTTCTAAGAGAAATTGAAAGATATTTCAGTTTGACAAATTACGTCAATGGGACAGTTAATATTGGCATGATAATATGCACAAAGAAAATAGTAGCATGCATAATGCAAACTTGCAGGCATAGAGTGTCATGTATGCCTAGGAAATCATGTAAAGGAAAAAGACAAGTTTATTAGGCATTGTAGTTAGTCTTACCAATTTTTTTTCTGCATCAAATGCTCGAAAGGAAATGATTCATGTAGCCTTTTGTATCACTTTGTCATTGGATTACATTACAAATAATTCTTTATCCCAATTTAATTAGATTCAGTTTTACCTATCTATTTATTTTTCACTTATTGATGGTTGAATTTCAATTGTTCCCAAGAGGGAAGAAATCAGATTCATGATTGAGAGAGATGGTTCTGCAAAGGGGATTGTTTTTAGCCAGTTCACATCATTCTTGGATTTGATAAGCTATGCCCTCCATAAGGTAAAGTAAAACTTTCTTTCTGTTTTTTTTTTTGGTAGAACAGGTTTTTCTTAATTATATCTTTAGAAAGCACACCTAAAGTAGATGCTTAACCATTTTTGTATTTGCAGTCTGGCTTAAATTGTGTTCAATTAGTGGGAAGTATGAGCATGACTGCCAGAAATTCTTCCATAAAGAGATTTACTGATGATCCAGACTGCAAGATTTTCCTTATGAGCTTGAAAGCTGGTGGTGTTGCTCTCAATCTAACCGTTGCATCACATGTAAGCGTCTAAGTGGCCTTTCTCATTATGGTTATTGATTTTTTTTTTTTTTCCATTTTACCTCTG